GCATTTAAAATAGTATCTAACAAAAGAGTAATATGCAAATTAACCACTCCGCCACACCCACAAGCCATGCCCACGAGCCAGTCAGAGCAAGTTTGCAAATTAACCCCAACCAAGATGGCTGCAGCCAGAGAGAGCAGGAGAGAGGCTTGGGTTTCCCTGGCAATGGAGAAAGCCAAGCTTTCCACCTGCCCTTGCCGGCCTAGGCTTCCACTCAAGGCTACAAAGTTTCAATTATAGAAGGTAAACAAATCCAAACAGAAATGGCGGCAGCCACTGAGCTGGAAAGAGAGGGAGGATAGGGTTGCCACAGGCAATGGAGGAAGCCAAGCTTTGCACACACTCTGGCAGGTCCAGGCCTCCACTCCAGGCTACAAAGTTTCAATTATAGAAGTTACATAAGTCCCAAAAGAAATGGCTGCTGCCAGGGAGCAAGCAGAAAGCGGCTCCACCCCAGGCTACAATGTTTCAATTGTGGAAGGTAAATAAATTCCAGATACCAAGGCCTCTGCTTGGGTCGCCAGGGGGTGTGGCTGGTCTGCAAACCACCACAGGCCTCTCACTCAGGCTGCCCCACACTCCAAGGGGCAAACTAGCTGACTCGCACCCATGCACCAGGCTTCTATCCTATCTAATAAAATAGTAATATGTAGATTGACCATCACTCCAACACATAAGATGGCTGTTCCCATGTGGTCAAAGATCCTGTTCCTATGTGAACACAAGATGGCCACAAGAGGGCCATCAGGGGAGGGCACTTGGGAGAGACCAGGCCAGCAAAGGAGGGAAGTTAGGGGTGACCAATCATGCAGGGAAGGGCAGATGGGGGAGACCCAGGCCTGCAATGGAGAGCAGTTGGGGGGGACCAGGCCTGCAGGGGAGGGCAGTTAGGGATCACCAGGCCTACAGGGGAGGTCAGTAAGGAGCAAACAGGCTGGCAGGGGAGCAGTTAGGTATCATTCAGGCTGGCAGGGGAGTAGTTAGGGGGTGATCAGGCTAGCAGGCAGAAGCGGGATCCCTCAAGGGATCCCAGATTGGAGAGGGTGCAGGCTGGGCTGAGTGACATCTCGGCCTCCCTCCCTGCACCGGGCCTCTAGTAAATAAAACAAACAAATAAACAAATAAGAAAGAGTTCTAGGCTCCTAAACACTGTCAGTAAAGAGATACAACTAAATGATAAAAGTATTCACAACATGTGACATACAGATCTCATGCATAAAAGTGCTCATATAAATAAAACAAATCAAAATAAAACGAATAGACAATTTTTAAATTTATTCTTCAATTTCCTGAGAACAATAGCCAATAGTCATGAGCAGCTCAACCTCACTAATTGAAGAAATGTAAATTAGGCCAAAACCGGTTTGGCTCAGTGGATAGAGCGTCTGCCTGCGAACTGAAAGGTCCCAGGTTCGATTCCAGTCAAGGGCATGTACCTTGGTTGGGGGCAAATCCCCAGTAGGGGGTGTGCAAAAGGCAGCTGATCGATGATTCTCTCTCATCGATGTTTCTAACTCTCTGTCCCTTTCTCTTCCTCTCTGTAAAAAATCAATAAAATAAAATAAAAATTGTTTTAAATGTAAATTAAAAAAAAATAATTTAAGACTTCCTATATCTTGTTCAACACTGTATCCCCACTGCTTCACAAGTACTTAGAACTTAGTATTTCCTGAAGTAACAAATTGTTGTTGGTAAGGATGTAGTGAAAAGGACCCTCTTCTACAGTGCTAGAAACAAGGTATATTGATGTAATCTTTCAGTAGGACAAATTGACAAAACATAACATTTTTAAACACATGTTCTTTGGCACAACAATTCCACCTAAAGGAATTTATATTAAAATAGTCATATGAAGCCTAAACCGGTTTGGCTCAGTGGACAGAGTGTCAGCTTATGGACGGAAGGGTCCCAGGTTCGATTCTGGTCAAGGGCATGAACGTTGGTTGTGGGCACATCCCCAGTAGGAGGTGTGCAGGAGGCAGCTGATCGATGTTTCTAGCTCTCTATCCCTCTCCTTTCCTTTCTGTAAGAACTCAATAAAATATTTATTAAAAAAAAAGTTATATGAATGCATTATATCTGTACCAGACTATCTTACCTAACGTTATTTATAATATGATAAATTACAAACTACACAAATACTCACTTAATAGGGAGCTGATGAAATAAATTATAGCAAAAACACAAAGAAACTGGGGGAAGGGTGTCAATTGGGTGGAAAGGAGACATATAAAACTTTAGACAATAAATTAAAACACTCACACAAAGAAATATTATGTGGTCATTTAAAATAATGAGAAACCAATATGAAAAGATGTCCAATTTATACTGCTAAGTAATAAAGGCAAGTTGTCTAAGAGTAGTATAGTAAGAAGTGGTTTTTATAATACATAAATGTTAGTATATGTACAGAAAAATGTCTAGGACACCATATGCCTAAACATTTATCAATGGTTGGACATATAACATAAACGCCACAATAATGTATTAAGTCCCCTTAAATATGAGTTTGGATTTACCACAGCCGAAATCTTCAAATTAGCATACTAAAGGTGAAATATTTTTTTTGTTAATTCTAAAGTGTGCCCTAAATCAGATCTCTAGATCAGTGTTTCCCAAAGTGTGGTACGCATACTCCCAGGGGTACAGAAAGAGTTTGGTGGGAGTATGCGTTGCACCGTGCTTAGCTGCGCCTAATTCTACATTCTCATGAGTACAAGGGGTACTCAGCATTATGAAAATTATAGAAGGGGTACACATATGTCAAAAGTTTGGGAAACACTGCTCTAGATGATCAATAATCCCAAATTAAAAGTCACTTGTTTTGAAAAAGGTCACAATATCACAAAGAATTTCTCTATACCAGATTATTACCATTCATTCATTCAAGAAGTTTACTGAAGGTTCTTTGGAGGATACACAGAAAAGTGAGTTTCTGTCCTTCCTAAGTTTAATACATAGGAAATAAGGTAGGATAATTTAGTAACAAATTGATTTGAGATTTTATTTCACCCTGGTTTTCAAATCTTTACCATAATAGTACTGAATAATTTCCATCTTCGCCGCACCCCTAGTGGGGATTCCTGTTCGCACTGAATTGGTTGGCATAATGGAAGCCAGACAAAAAGATGACAGTGAATAATTTTATTTATATGAAATGTCCAGAACTGGGAAATCAATAAACATGGAGTAGATTAATGATAGCCTATAGCTAGTGAGATGGGAGAATGGTGGGGTGAGACATAAGGGGCACAGGGTTTCCTTTTGAGGTAATGAAATGTTCTAAAATTGATTGCAGTGATGACTGTCTTCATCTGTGAATATACCAAAATTCATCAAATTGTGTACTGTAAGTGGGTGGATTGTATGGTATGAGAATTATATCTCAATAAATGTTCAAAGAAAAAAATCTTTATCATAACAAAAGGGAAGAAATGCAGAAAACTTTCAGAACTGGCGAAATAACTATGGATTTCCTCTTTGTTCTTTACCCATTACCTTCTATTCTAGAGCTCTCAGATACCCTCACTAAATGCTTCTCTCTCCCACCCTAGCCAATTCTGCTCAGAGGTTAGAGTGTCGACCCACATACTGAGGGGTCTAGGGTTCCATTCCAATCAAGGGCATGTATCTTGGTTGTAGGCTTGACCCTAGCCCTGGTGGGGACACATGAGGGAGGCAACCAATCAATGTATCTCTCTCACATACGGTAGATGTTTCTCTGTCTCTTCCCCTTCCTTCCACTTTCTAAAAATAAAAACTAAAAATTTTAAAAATCAATGAGAAAAATATCCTCAGGTAAAGATTAATAAAAAAAAAAAAACCTGCAGCTTCCCTCTCTTAATAAGGGTCTGCTCCTTGCCATCAGAGAGAGAGCATAGCTGGCGGTAAGGAGAGTTAACAGTAGGAGAAAGCCAAACTGATTGGATAATGAACAAAATTTGGGAATTCGGTACTTAATCCACAAATCCAAAGGGTTTCCCGTGCAATTATTCCCAATACTGAGTCATCGATATCTTCCATTACAAGAACAATATCTAGCTTCACAGAGCCTTTTCCTATGGCATTAGGGGGAAAAACCCTCAAAATCCATCATCCTAAGTCTGAAACACCTTTCCTCAAAACAATCTAAAAAAGAAAAAAGAAATATTTAACTCACAAATCCAAATGTGTCCATTAAGTTTAGCCTAATTACCTGTGAGTTTACTAAACAAGTATAGTTTTACCTACAACTGAGATATCACTACAAATTCGCTTTAAGTCACTTATTAATAAATAATGGTAAATAAGGCCGTTTCAGGAAAACAGCACTATTTATAATTCTGTTCAGAAAAGAAAAATCGCTTTATTACTTTATTTTCTTTTTCCTGTCTTAAAAGTCATCCTCAGTCATCACATAACGTACCTGGACCTTCCTCCTCCAACCTGTCATTTTATCAAAGGCTTTAAATAAATCTAAATAACTTATATTCATTTGTTTTCCTACGACATTATTTACCACTTCAAAAATTACAGTCCTGGCCAAGTGCCTCAGTTTGTTGAGCATCGTCCCTGCACCGAGAGGTCACCGGTTCAATTCCCCATCAGGACATACGTCCTGGTTGCAGGCTCGATCCTGAGTAGTGGGTGTGCGGGAACCAGCAAATGGATGTTTCTCTCTCTTAATCTCTCTCTCTAATCAGTAAAAACAATATTTTTTTTAAAAATTACACTTAAACAGTTTTCCTTTAATTCTATTCTCCCAACGCAAATGTTAAATGTTCTATAACCTATTTCTTTACTAAAGATTTCACCTATTCTAAGGATGCACTAAACCTACTAAATAGACAATTCAAAGGAAATTTGAAAGGCTGGATTCAGAATAGTAGTACGGCACATAATGAAAGTGACCAACCCTAAATTCTAAACTTCAAATCCCAGTTCAGCAGCAAAGATCAACCACAAAAGAAAAATGAAGTTGGAATTAATCATAAAAGGATTAGACTATATAAAAAAATACTTACATATCGATGGAACTGTGTGAAGGACTGAATCATGTAGAATCGATGCATATATACGATAGCAGTGTTGATAGTCAATTGTGAGCTTAAATATTCAAGTTAAGGCCCCAAACCAGGCAGGCAGTACAATTCCCCAAAATACATCTATATCTTCCCAGAATGACCACACAAGCTGAGCACAGCAGATGCTCCCAAATAAAATCATACTTACCTCTCCACCAAATTATTCAATACCTTAAACATAATGGTTATTCATTACAAATTTACTAAATAAACAAGCAAGCTTCTTAGCATGTGTGAATAAAGAAGGAACATAAACAAAATTATCCAAGTCCTAAACCCATCACTTGCCTACTGAAAATCCTGCAATGGTGATTCATTAGCTCAGGATCTCTCCTCGAATGATTTATAATACCCTCCTTGACCTGGCCCTAGAAATATGTCTTAACTTCTTAACTTTAGCAATTAATTTTTCAATTCAACTTCTCTCTGCCAACCAAGCCTTCTCATAAGGTGATCCTTGGGACCAAAAACAGTGTGGAATGATTTTATATTCAATCAATGACAAAATATGTTAAATACCTTATTTCAAAAGACCTCAGAAGACAATATGGGATATACAGAATGAGGCCATCTCATAATGGCAACTACCTTAATAACAACACACATATAAAAAAGGAAAGGGCTAGGATGCAATGAGACAGAATTTCAAACAAAATGATTAACTCAGTACACTGAGTGGGTGCTTAAAAACACACTGCATATTGGCAAGAAAGAGAACACCTCTTTTGAAGTGAGCACTTAAAACATATATATTTTTTTATTTTTTTTTACATATATTTTAATGATTTTTTACTAAAAGGAAGGGAGAAGGATAGAAAGTTAGAAACATCGATGAGAGAAAAATAATCGATCAGCTGCCTCCTGCACACCCACTACTGGGGATGTGCCTGCAACCAAGGTAAATGCCCTTGACCGGAATCGAACCTGGGACCTTTCAGTCTGCAAACAGATGCTCTATCCACTGAGCCAAACCGGTTTCGGCTCAGCAACACATTTAAATGAAAGGTGTACACAAGGACAATTTTTCACTTTCAGAATGAAAAGAACTTTAAAACTATTTTAGCCTTTTCTGCTGCAAATGAGTATATTTTCTGACAAAAATGCTAGAATTGACTTGTTCTTTTTGGGCGCATCCCTGTACAAGGCCCTACCCATGGACCAGGTGGCCATACCAAAGGTGCACCCTGGTACTAGCACCTGCATTTGCACCACGGTGGCAGGGGTGGTGCTGACCCAGTACATATTCACCTTCAAGAGGAAGACAGGGCAGATGGTCAAGATCAAGACGCCTAGACCCAAGCACTGCATCTCTGGATATTGCTTACCACCTATGCTATTGTTCTAGACCAGTGGTCTGCAAACTGCGGCTCGTGAGCCACATGTGGCTCTTTGGCCCTTTGAATGTTCTAACGCCACTTCAAAATAGACTCGCCCAGGCCGAAAACCGACTTATGTGCATGAGCCGCGAAGTTTCAATTGCACTGTACGTACACACCCACACGTGGTATTTTGTGGAAGAGCCACACTCAAGGGGCCAAAAAGCCACGTGACTCACAAGCAGCTGTTTGCCAACCACTGTTCTAGACGAATTCAAGGACAGAAAAACTCAAGAATGCCCTAAGGAAGACTGGGTAACGAAGAAATGACTAAGATTCTTCTACACATGTGAAAATGATGCCAGAATTCTCAAAAAGTTCAGTTCATGTGAAGACCCCTACAAGAGTAGAAGAAAATTCCAGAAACCAGTGTATTTAGTGGTCCGTGTGAGACACCAGATTTCAACTCTTCACATTCATAAGTGACACAATTCGAGAGGCGACTCAGTGAGCACCAAAGCCCCACTGAAACAAGGCCTGCTCCATAAGTGTGTCTCCAGCACAGCAGTTCTTCCATGATATACACAGCGGGTCCTCACAGCCAATTGGCCTGGAGGTCAATTCCTCACAGTGTACCCTCGGCAGTCAAGGCTAACTACACCAAGACTTTGCACTCAGCCCACAAAGAAGTGCACCCAGAGCAACCACTTCAGGTGATTGGGGAAGCTGAGCTACTGTCCCCTATATACCACACAAAGCCACTCCATCAACACAGAGAGTCAACAGAAGCATGTCTCGAATGGGAGAGATGGAGGAAAATAAACTGCTGGACAACACAGAGTTCAGAATCACATTTATAAGGTAACTCAAGAATCTTCTAAAAACCGCTGAAAAACTTGAAGAGACCTTCAAGGACCTTAAGGAGAATATCAAAAAAATGGAAAAGGACCAGTCAGAAATTAAGCATACACTGTCTGAAATAAAGAATATACAGGTGCCAAAACAGGTCTGGCTCAGTAGATAGAGCATCGGCCTGCGGACTGAAAAATCCCAGGTTCGATTCCGGTCAAGGGCATGTACCTTGGTTGTGGGCACATCCCCAGTGGGGGGTGTGCAGGAGGCAGCTGATCGGTATTTCTCTCTCATCGATGTTTCTAAATCTCTATCCCTCTCCCTTCCTCTCTGTAAAAAATCAATCAAATATATATATATATATATTTTTTTTTTTTTTAAAAGAATATACAGAAACTCAACTGAAGATCAACGTAACCCAAGAGTCAAACCAAAGATCTGGAATATGAGAAATAAAAATACCCAACCAGAGAGACAGAAAGAAAGAATCCAAAAGTATGAGGATAGTGTAAGGAGCCTCTGGGACAACTTCAAGCATACCAACATCTGGATTTTTGGGGTGCCAGAAGAAGAGAGAGCAGGATATTGAAGGCCTATTGAAAGAAATAATAACAGAAAACTTTCCCTACCTGGTGAAAGAAATACTTACAAGTCTAGGAAGCACACAGAACCCCAAACAAAAGGAATCCAAAGAGGACCACACCAAGACACATAATTAAAATGCCAAGGGCAAAAGACAAGGAGAGAATCTTAAAAGCAGCAAGAGAAAAACAGTTGGTTACCTAAAAGGGAGTGAGTACCCATACAACTGTCAGCTGATTTCTCAACAGAAACTATGCAGGCCAGAAGGGAGTGGCAAGAAATATTCAAAGTGATGAACAGCAAGAACCTACAACCAAGATTACTCTACCCAGCAAAGCTATCATTCAGATAAAGAGCTTCACAGACAAGAAAAAGCTAAAGGAGTTCATTACCACGAAACCAGGATTACATGAAATGCTGTAGGGTATTCTTTAAGAATAGGAAGAAGAAAAAGGTAAAGGTAAAAACTATGAATAACAAAAAGACATCAAATACATACCTACAACAAATGAATCTAAAAATCAAGTGAATAAAAAATCTGAAGAACAGAATGGACTGATGAATATAATAGAATCGGGGACATAGAAAGGGAGTGGACTGACAATTCGCAGAGGAAGGGGATCTGAGGGGTGCAGGAAGAGTTTGGACAAAAATCTGACACCTATGAATGAAGGCAGTGGCAGAGGGTAAGGGCTTGAGTGGAGTAGGTAATCAAGTGGAGGGGAGCTATGGCGGAAAAAAAGAGAAACACCTGTAATAATCTGAACAATAACGATTTATTATATTAATGACAACTGCTAGCTGGTTTCAGATGAATGTCGAAAGTTACTGTAACTAAAGAGAAAATGTTATGCTATTGATCCTGTTCTGCCCAGCCTGCTTGGCTCAGTGGTTGAGCATTGACCTATGAACCAGGAGGTCAAGATTCAATTCCTAGTGAAGGCACATACAGGCTCAATCTCCAGTGTGGGGAGTGCAGGAGGCATTCAATCAATGATTCTCATTATTGATGTTTCTCTCCCTCTCCCTTCCTCTCTGAAATCAATAAAAATATATTTAAAAGAAAAAGAAAAATTGATCCTGTTCTTACCATAGAAGAGTAATAACCTTATGTTATAGAATGGTAAACTAATGAAATGATTTGTGTAACAGGTTTCATCAAAACATAAACTGTGACTGATATTATACTCAAAGAACATGAAAATTTCTCTAATAAGCTCCAACATAGTATACCTGTGTCCATATTTTTGGCTGGTATCAGTATATTCTAAAGATTATTCATCAAGTTGGTGTTTATTATCCAAATGTGAAACTAGTGCCCAACTTCATGGATTTTAATGACAATGGGGAACTCAAAGGATTTAAAAGAGAATGAATTCATGTACTTAACAAATATGATGTCTTCAATTCAGAATATTTCAATTAAAAGACAATAGCAATATAATTTGTGTGAGACTCTCAGGGACACTTAAGGCAGATAGCTAGCCAATGTTGAATACATTCGAAAAATGGATTATCTAGTGGATGAGCTTTTAGAAAAGCACGTGGGCTCTGATGATATTGTACCAATAAAAGATAAATCATTAGAGGGGGCCAACTCCAACTTACAAAAAGATTCTGTAAATAAACATTCTTCAAGAAGACCTCTTTCCTCTGCATGAAACTGATGCAAGAACTGTTCATTTGTTCACCTTGCTGAAAGATTTTTATTTATAATATATTCTTGCTCTACAAGTTTTTCCTCTACATTACTGAGTTATTTTCAAACATGTGGAGTCCCAACAACTGGAAGCTCCTTTTTCTCCACCTCTCTCTACACTAGCGGTTCTCAACCTTCCTAATGAATGCCGCGACCCTTTAAAACAGTTCCTCATGTTGTGGTGACCCCCAACCATAAAATTATTTTCGTTGCTACTTCATAAATATAATTTTACTACTGTTATGAATCGTAATGTAAATATCGGTGTTTTCCAATGGTCTTAGGCAACCCTGCTAGTGGTTCTCAACCTGTGGGTTGTGACTGTAGAGCATTAGAAAGGTTGAGAATCACCTCTCTACACACCCCTCACCATATTTTTAACATTAAAAAAAAAATCTTCCTTTTTGTCTGACATCTTAGCAGCCTTGTAGCAGTTGGTCTTCAAGTTTGGCTATGCCACCCAAGGTCAACAATAAAGATACTGGAAAGTTAGCCAAGAAAGACAAAGACCCAATGAAAAAATCTGGGGGCAAGGCCAAAATTAGATGGGTCTAAAGCCAAAGTTCAGGACAAGTTCAATAACCTAATCTAGTCTGACAAAGCAACATTATAACAAACTCTGTAAGGAAGTTCCCAACTATAAGCTTATAACCAAGTGTTTCCCCTAAGAGACTATGAAGTAGCTAGCAAGTTCCCTGGCCAGGGCAGCCTTTCAGGAGCTCCTTGGTAAAGGACTTATTAAGCTAGTTTCAAAGCACAGAGCTGAAGTAATTCAGAAACACCAAAGCTGGGGACGCCTCAGTTGTTGAAGATGCATAAACAACAGGTCCCAGCGGCTTGTGTATTTTGAAAAATAAGCTATTAAATCAGGAAAATGGAATATCTTAAAGTAAATATTTTAAAAAGAACTCTCTATTTCCAAAGAGTATTTTGTAGTTAATATTATGATGTTTTTAAGGACTCTCTCTACACTGGGAAAGTTTGTAGACATTTAAAATTTTATGAAATGGTGAAATAATGTGTGTTATTTTTAAGGATAGCCATTTTTGTAATTTGTGTGAATTATGCTAATGGTATCTCCATCTACTAAAATTGTGTTATTTTGGTTAATCTGTTTTAGGAAAATTGATAATTACCAAAAAATACTGATACTTGATGATTGAAAAAACTGTTATCCACATGTCATTAATTATGATTAAATGTTTTGTAGTGAAGTACTGATTATAAACATGAAATGAAAAGCCAAAAAATGCTTGGAGAAAAAAAAATCATTATATTACCTCATCTTTGAAATATGAGAAAAACAAATACAACTTTTTTTTTAATCTGTAGAGAATTTTTATAAGAATTTGAGCCAAACAGAGGACATGCCAGGAAGTAAGATCTCAACGAGACTCAGAAAAATTTTTCCAAAACCCCGTATTTTTCAACGTTTTTTAAACCGTTAGATCATTAAGTCTACATCCCTACAAATCTAAACTGGCATCCCCTTCCTCTAAAATTCTATGAAACTCTAACTGAATTCTATTAAACTACTGAATTCTATGAAACTGAATTCTATGAAACTCTAAATGAATTCTAGTGAAGTATTGTGTGGGCGATTGAAATTAAACGCAAGAAGTATCACCCCATTTTACAGAGAACACCAAGAATTTGACAGCTTTCTTAGGTAATAACTGGGAAGAAGGAATTTTGAACCAAAGTTGGGCATTAATTCTAGGCCATCCTTTATGGTAATGAAGTTCTCAAAATTCTCTATACACTAAATTCAAGACGCAGTCATCAACGCTAAAACCTCCACTAGGGACTAGGACATAGCAGAAAAGCATAATCTCAAAGTCACCAGAACAGAGGATCATAACACACTGAAAATGGCCTAATATTAAGAACGACCGGTTAAAACATAAAGCCGGGAAGCATACGAATTACCGGCAAGGTTGGTGGCACCGGTGAGCGAGGGGGAAATTAATTCCGCCTCGCCTCCCTCGCGCGAACACTGAACTTTTAGCCGGCCCCACCGCAGTCTCTCCCACCCAACATCCAGCCTCTGCCCACCCTCTTCCCCCACTTCCGTCCCCTCAGAGAGCCTGCGGCCTGGACGCGAGAGCAAGGCGGGACTGATTCCAAGACCGAAGGCCTAGGCCGCAAGGATACACGTAAAGACGTTGGCCCATGTCCTGGAGCAGATTGGCCGCCTGCTGACGATAAGAAAGTTCTTTATCTGGGTCCAGCCCAAAGCGACGGGATGGGCTATTTTCCAGCTGTTCTCGAGTAAAATACCACCGTTTGTTGTTCTTCCTCTCTTCCTCCATAGTGCTTCAACCAGAAGGCAGCGGCGAAGGCTGCAAGCGCTTCCCAGCGTCACTTCAGCGGCGACACACATCCGCTGTGCGGAAGAAACTGCGCCGTGACGAACTTCCGCTAAGGGTGGGCGGGTAGGTTGTGACACGCTTCCGCTGAAGAGGATAGTTGAAGGGTCTACTTCCGTAATGGATCACGCGACAGCCAGTAGCCAAATAAATAGCCAATAGGCGAGCAGAAAAGACCTTGGGTTGGGGGACGCGAGTGCCCATCACGTGACTCTTGGAGGTAGGGTGAGGTTAAAAGTTTTCGTTCAAAACCACGTCCCCTCTCGCGAGAACTAGGCTGAAGATTCGCGCCCTGCGCGAGAGGGTGAGGCAATGTTTGTGGCGGGATTAGGCGCCCGCCCACGCGCCGCTCGGCGGCTTCTGGGAGAATTTCGTTTGTGGCCGGAGGTGGCGATATAAAATGGGGCAGGTGGAGAACTTAACAGAGAAAAATAGGTGAGACTGACAAAAACTGTAAAAAAGTAATCGTAGTGGCCGTATCGTACATATATCGTGTCGCGAAGCCACTAGAAGCTCTCACATTATTGATAATGTAGATTTCGCATTTGAGAAGCTAAAGTCTTGAATGCATTCCTAGCTTCTCCACAGTGATCCAACTTAAAGGAATAAAGTGAAATTAATAACATTAATTTAGTGCTTAATACGTTCCAGGCACAATACTGACTCTTAATTTACTATTACAACAGGTAGTAGTATTTTAATTACTTTTTTGCGAAGGTGAACTAAAACTGCGCCTTCAGTGTGGGGAGCTTTACCACCACCCTGCGCATGCAAAAATTTGTAAATTCCTGCTCCAATGCCTGATGGCTCTTTGATCCAGGGCAGGATACTTCTCTGTACCTCTTATACAAATGTAGATTATAAAAAATACCTACGTATTAGATTGTAAGAAGAATCTTAAATGAAGATGTAATGAGTTAAAAACAATAGCAGCTGACACAGAAGACATTCAGCAGATGTTATTGATATCAGATTATATTGATACCGAGGTTGTATCCCTAGTACCTACCTAATACAGTACTGGCTCTAGTAGTTAATAAATGCGAAATAAATGTTCACAATACCCTACAATAAAGAATCTGAGAGTCAGGGAGATTAAGTAGTTGACCCTACAATGTACAGCTTATAACGGTAGATTTTAAAAATAAGTCTAATTGGTTTTTGCATTTTAGCAAACTGTAGTCTTGCTTTTCTGGAACACTCAGTTTACCTTGATTAAGTGTGAGTAATAGTAGAATCATTTATCTTTTATAATGTAATAGAACAAAGTAATCAGTTTTTCTGATTCCATCTTGCTTCGACCTGACATGTCATTTTATTTTTTTATTTTATTTTTTTAAATATATATATTTTATTGATTTTGTACAGAGAGGAAGGGAGAGAGATAGAGTTAGAAACATTAATGAGAGAGTCATCGATCAGCTGCCTCTTGCACACCCCCTACTGGGGATATGCCCGCAACCAAGGTACATGCCCTTGACCGGAATCGAACCCAGGACCCTTCAGTCCCCAAGCCGACGCTCTATCCATTGAGCCAAACCAGTCTTGGCTGACATGTCATTTTAGCTACTTCTGCTTAGTTCTGAAGGTAGATATGCTAATCATTAGAGGAATCTAACATACATCCGAGAAATTACTGAAACAACCTCCCTGCTCAAAAGTATCTCCCCAAAAATATAAGGAAAGTGTGTACAAAAATAATGATTTATAGGAACTTCCTGACTGAGTTTGAAGGTTCCCCTTTGGGTCCTTGATGATGTCCAGATGGCTGCAATCATTAGTCACCTCCTGTCCTCACATCTCTGCTGTTCCTCCCTTCCCCTGACATCAAAGAAGTATAAACTCTGTACTTTCTCAAGATGGTTCGTTAGAACACTCACCTGCTATCTTCTCTGCTTGCTGGCTTTCTAAATAAAGTCACTTTCCTTGCATCAATTCCTGTAACTCATTGGCTGTCATGTAGCAACGCAGAACTAATTTTCACTCAATTACAATAATACTTTGGGTTTTGTTTATTTCTAGATATAGCTGTTCCAATGCATTAAATTTAGTTCATTCTCAGAATTATTTCCTTCCATTTCAGGCCCTGTCTTCCATACACTGCCTATAGTAAGCTTTAGCTCAGTTTTATTCCAGAGAAATTGAGGTTCAGAAAGATGTAAATTATATCAGGTTATATAACATTCAAGAAAATAATAATTTCAGACTTCTTTCATCATATACTTTTTTCTTTTAATAGAATAAGCACTTTTCCAATTATGTAGTCATGTATGTTATTTTTTTTAAAGTCAAATTTATTTCTTCCAGATCCCTCTTGCCTATTTCTCTGACCTGTGGTTCTCCACTTAACCTTTTGGATCACTGATTTTCAACTGATGTGTTGCAAGAATCTTTAAAACATGCAATACATGCATTGGCTGCTTTTCCCTTATATTGTCAACTAAGAGAATGACAACAGCTAACACAACAATAGCCATCTGGTGTAAATGAATCAATTATACGTTTTTTGTTAGATCAGCCAAAAATATTTTTTTGTGTGTGCTACAGTCAATAAAACAACAAATTAAATCTTTGTCCGTAGCATTTGCCAGTTTCTGTAGTGTTATCTCCCACCGTGGCCAATTTCAAGCTACCAGTGTTACATCACTGATCATGAAATTGGAAAGATAGGAACACACAATCACATAGTATACTCACCATGCAGGTAAAATAGTCAGGGACTTCTGGTTTCTAGTCTGATATGTTAAGAGCTTGGAAATCATCACAACCAAACAAAAAGGCTGAACTGCAAATCAATAAATCTTAAATGCATCAAAGAATTGAGGTAATAGGCAACTTCTACCACAAAAAGTGGAGAGACAGGCAGAATCAGCAGGCAGAACAGAGAATCATGGCTCACTGGGAGCAAAAAAATACTTCTGGAACCAGCAACTGATAGGAATACTTAAAGGGGAATTGACCAATTGCTGATAAATGAAATTGGACTATATTGAAAAATTTTAAAAAATCTCCTGGGGCCTTGCCTTAAGGGGTTCCCCTCATTTTTGTGCATTTTACCTCCAGGAGCCCCATATGTCTTACTATGCAGATTGGAAAAAGTTATCCTCATCTTTCTGGCAAGAAAAGGGAAAGTAACCATTTTGAAATACAGAGCATTCAGTTCTTTTTTTATTTATTTATTGAGTTTGGGAATGGAGAGAGAAGAAGCATCAATTTGTTGTTCATTGGTTGATTTTTTTCCTCCCCAGAGGTTGATTCTTGTATGTGCCCTGATTAGAGATTGAACCCACAACCTTGGCATATTGGGATGACACTCTAACCAACTGAACTATCCGGCCAGGGCCAGAGCATTCATTTCTTGACAAAGATCAATCCTCAAGGAAAACTAAGAGCCTAATCAATGTGAGAGAAGGAAAATAACCAACTCTAGTCTCCTCTAGCTTGTTTCATCTAGGAAGATAAAAGACAAGCATTTGTGAAGGTCAAAATCCAGGAATACAAGCTCACTGAAAGACTGAGTTCTAATAGAATTAGAGAATACTTCTCCCTTCTCACCCCACCATTTTACCAACACATCAGTAGGGATCCTCTGTAATAAAAGGGCATTACAACTTGGAAGAACTACAAGCTCAGACTATTTAAGGAGTCACTAGGGAAACCCAAAGACAAGGAAATTTATCTTCTGGCACCTATAGCTATAGCACATGGAAAACAACCTAATTCCCAGCCAGATAAACATAAAATTTCAGTTCCTTTTACCCAGTATATTATGCTTTTCTACAAAAAAATTACAAGGCATGCTAAAAAGAAGAAGAAAAAAAAAAAAGTCTAAAGAGTCAAGAAGCATCAGAACCAAACTCATGGCAGAAATTTTGGAATTATCAAAACAGGAATTTAAAATAACTAGGATTAATATGTTAAGGCCTCTAAAGGGAAAAGTTCATATGTACAAAAACAGATGAATAATGTAGGCAAAAAGGTGAAAACTCTGTAAGAATCAAAAGCAAGTGCTAGAAATCAAAAGCACTAACAGAAATGAAGAATGCCTTTGATGGACTTGGTAGATTGATCACAATCAAGGAAAGAATCAGTGAATTTGAAGATATGCTGATAGAAACTTCCCAAGCTGAAAAGAAAAACAGAAGAGAATATCCAGATAGAATAGTTGTAAATAACTTTAGGAGCAAAGGAAATAATAAAATGTTAGAGAAATGTTTTTAGTATTTACTACTTTTACATTTTTAATGTAATATTGTAATTTTTAGAATAATAGTTGTTTAAAAATCAACTCAAAAAAATTGCTTGGCTGGCCATTGTGGCTCAGTGCTTGAGCATCACAGTTTATAGAACCAAGAGGTCACAGTTTGATTCCTGGTCAGGGCACATATCTGCATTGTGGGTTACATCCCTGGGGGGGGATACGCAGGAGGCAGCTGATCAATGATTCCCTCTCGTCCTTGATGTTTCTATGTCTGTCTCCCACTCCTGTCCTCTCTCTGAAATCAGTAAAAACATATATATATTTTTTTAATTCCTGAAAGTTTAGCAAGTGGTTCTCAAAAGTAAATATGAACTGGCACAGCACTGCCTGAAATGAAGACTCATTGGATGTACCATCTTCAGATTTAAATACTTTTTGCTAAGGTTCCATTATATGCTGAACATCGTGCTAAGGAAATTTGCATACATTATTATCTCATTTAATTCTCATACCTCCATGAAATAGATACCATCTCCATTTTTTTTACGGAAGTTAAAAAAAACAGAGATTACTATATTCAAAGTCAGGTGCTTAGAATATAGTGAAACTAAGATTTGAGCCCAGGTCAGTGCTCTTTCTACTCATTGCCTTCTGAAGCTTACAGTATAATAAAACTAGGGGCAAATAAAAAGATAACTGCCACTTGATTACTCCATTTTCCTGAAGTTATGTAGCCAACTCCAGTTCCACCGTGAACCCATAAACCATGTGCCTCTTTAGACAAAAGGAATGTCAGTCATAATTCTTCAGAACATTGCCATGATTACCTAACAGTTTGGTGCTCCAGCCTGGACATTCCAGAAGAGAACAGGGAAGAGCTAAGATGGCCTTCTTCAACTTGTATCTACTTGGATATCAAAATTCCTTTCAGCACAAGAAAAGGGACACAACTGAAGAAACAAGTAAGGGGAATATACAGTAAAGGATTAGAAGATCCACTTCTTAGCCATTTACTTTTCCTACCTTGGGTTAGTGATTTATCCCCCAACATTAACAATTACACTAGTAAAAAATAATGGAGTAGGCAGAGTATCCATTCATGTCCCACTTCTGTCATTTAATAGCCTTTTTTTAAGATACCAAATTTGTTTCAATAAACGTATTCATTTGCTCATTTAGCCAACATTTAAGCACCAACTTTGTGCCAGGCTTTATCTTGGTGACTGGGGTTACAAAGATAGATAGAATAAGGTTTCTGCCATAAAGTGGTTAACTAGCAAATGAAAATAGGTATGCAAACAAAAAATGTGCAATATTGTATGAGATTAAATTAAATATGGAATGCTATGTAGACACAAAAGAGGTAGCATCTGATACAGTTGGAATTCAAGGGAAAATAGGGGGATACTTTAGAGAAGACCTCATACACAAAATGCTTCCAGAAATGAGTGTTAAAGGATGGTTGGAGTTAAGTAGACAAGAAGGGAATATAGCACAAAGGAACAAATTTGAGAGAGAGAGCCAAATTAAGTGAGCACTCAAGTCCTTGGGTACAGATAGGTGGTAAAATAAACAGATGCTGGGGAGCAGGCCTGAAAACTAGGCAAGGGCCAGATAATTAAAGATTGTGTTAGTCGTGCTAAGCATTTTTCTCCTTTAAATATACATACATATATATACATGTATATATGTGTATATATGTATGTGTATATGTGTGTATATATGTATATGTGTAATAAATATACAGATATATGTATGTGTGTGTATATACACTGAGAGGCCAGATTATTATCTCTGAACACATAATAATCTGGCCACTCAATGTATATCCTATATAATAAAAGGCTAATATGCAAATTGTCCCTTCAACCAGGAGTTTGACCAGTAGGCAGACGGGCCAACCTCCCATGTCCTCTCCCCCTGGCCAGGCTGGCCAGACCCCACCCATGCACGAATTCATGCACTAGGCCTCTCTCTATATATGTGTATGTGTGTCTGTATTCATATATGTGTGTGTGTGTGTGTGTGTGTGTGTGAAAAAATTCATATATATATTTATACTGAGTGGCCATGTGTTCAAAGATCATAATAACCTGGCCACTCAGTGTCTATATCAGCATATATATATGATATATACATACATATATACACACACACACACACACACACACACACACACTAGAGGCCCGATGCATGAAGTTTCATGTAAGAACGGGCCTTCCTTCCCCTGGCTGCTGGCACCACCTTCACTCTGGCTGGAACTGCCTTTCCACTCCGGCCCAGAGCCACCTATCTGCCTTCCCATGCTGCCCAGAGGCCCAGAGTGGCTGGGGGCAGTGCTGAATGCCTGGTGATGTTGATTTAATTTGCATACTTGCTCCTGATTGGCTGGTGGGCATCTCAAAGGTACAGTCAATTAGCATGTTACTCTTATTAAGTAGATATAAAATTATTTTATTTTTAAAAAATATTTTTTATTGATTTTTTACAGAGAGGAAGAGAGAGGGACAGAGAGTTAGAAATATCAATGAGAATCATCGAACAGCTGCCTCTTGCACACCCCCCACTGGGGATGTGCCCGCAACCAAGGTACATTCCCTTAATCAGAATCGAACCTGGGACCTTTCATTCCGCAGGCTGACGCTCTATCCACTGAGCCAAACCGGTTTTGGCCGTAGATATAAAATTATTGATAGTATTGCAGATGTCTCCCATTTATCCCCCTCCTCCCAGTCTCTACCCACCCACCCCCAAGTCTTCACCACCCTATTGCCCTTGTCCACAGCTATGCATATAAGCATTCTAAGCATTTTAATTTTAGAGGGAGACATGGAAGGATTTTTAGTTGGCAGTGAGTACTTATCAGATTTTATATTCACAATGCCTAGCAGTGCCTCATACATAATAGAGGTTTAATAAATACATATTTGTAGGGTGAATGAATGAATAAATAATATAGAATAACTAACCAAAACAAGTTAGGAGAGGCTTTGCAGGAGATGTGACAATTAAGATCTTAAAAGATGACTTGTTTGAAAGCACAGAAGTGGAGAAGGCTTTTCTGGGCCAAATAGCACATAAAGGAAATTAAATATAGGCAAGTACTAAAGCAAAAGTAATGTTGAGGTAAGTGATGGGGATTACAGGAAAAGTATAAAGCACAAATTAAGACTGTGAAGAATTGATCTTCATTGGACACTCTCAGTCCTCTTTCTAATTCCATCATTGAAACTGTTTTACATATCCAGCTTTCAGGTAAGACTTCTACAAAGGATCCCACTAATGGGCTCTAGGAATCCCTTAATAGCTCTACACCAGCCCTCCTCACTTGCCCCCAACCATTTGAGTCCCCACATTATCCCATGGGGCTATTATTGTCTCCAAATACCCTTTTCATCCTCTCTCAGAGAAACAAATTTCCCTTGTTCCAGGCCAAGAGCAGGCCTTTCCTGCCTGCCCCTACTAGAAGGACTTCTCACCATGAGATAATTAAGCTTCAAGCCTGGGATTTTCCTACCCAGATAGCCACTTGTGGACAAGACTCAGTTCCAAAAAGGCCTGGGTCTCACTACTAATGAATTACTTTGTAGGCTAGCCGGAAAGATTTCACTTTATAAAAACTGGAGTCTCCTGTGGGATGATAGGGAAGCATCCTGATATCATCTGCTTACCCAAATTTTTCATTCCAATGGCAGGAGGCTTGACTAGCCTGTTGGCCTAAAATGTAGAGGGAAGACTGGACATCAAATTTGCCTAACCTTAGCCTCCACTTGGTTCCCTCACCCCATTCAATTTTATACCCTCTGGTTATCTCTCAAGATTTGGATAGTAGAGGTCCACTTGCTAAATTATAATCCCTAATTATGTTGATTCAGGCATTTAAAAATAACTTTAGCATGTACTGTGTTTCAGGCATTGTACTGAGAACTCTATGTGCATAATTTCATTTAATACTGTCAACATTCCTGTGAAGTAGATGTTACTATTCTTTTATCAATAAGGAAACAGACCCAAAGAGGTTAACTTATTTACCCAAGGTCACAGTGATAGAAGTTAACTTACCCAAGGTCACAGTGATAGAGCCAGAATTTGATTCCAAATTGTCAAACACCTATGCCTGTGCTCATTTTTTAAACATTTCTATTAATTTCAGAGAGAAAGGAGAAGGGATGGATAGAAACATCAATGATGAGAGAATCATTGGTTGACTGCCTCCTGAAGATTCCCCCACTGGGAATTGATCCCACAACCCAGGCATGTGCTCTGACCAGGAATCGAACTGTGACCTCTTGATTCACAGATCAACACTCAACCACACCAGCCGGGCCCTGTGCTCATTTTTAGGCAGTTATATATGGAGACAACACAAGTCTTTTGCTGTGGGCAGACCACTGTACAAATGATTGATAGTCAGCCTTTCTATGAAAATCTATTAATCTCTAAACCCTGAAGTTCAAATATCAGGTTGGCTTTACCTATAGTTACAACAGGTGGTTCCCAAGAGTGTCAGGAGCCACCATTCACTGGAGCTGAGTGGTAACTTTCAGCCAGAATTGCTGCCTTGAGGACTTCTTTGTGGAGTCAACACCTATAACCTCCTAGAGCCCCTGGGCAACTTCCCAAGAGAGTTACAACATTCTACAACTTCACGGTAGTGTTCTGCAACCCAGAAAAGTAACTGGTTTAGTTCCTTCTGACATTTTTAAAAAAACACACACATATGCATATCCACTACTGAATCATTATTACTATGTGATCTATTTCATGCAGGTACCAAAACAATAATTTGATTTTGTTTTCTGTACTTAAAATTCAAACTTTGCTTGAATTATTGGTGGAAATGCAATGCTAGCAGGTCAATTATATTTTATTTCTTCCAATAAAACTAGGTAGTTTCATTTCCAGGACAAGAATTTAGTGAAATCACTATTTGACAAGGCAACCGGTTACCATGGATCCCACTTTTCTAGGAGGCATCTTGAAGTTAATGTGTCCCATCGGACCCTGGAGTGTTGCTAACCTAATCAATATCATAAACTAACCACCAAGTAGGAATCCCTAGTATAAACCAGCCACTAGACATCAAGCTAGCATGCTTGGATCAATTAATAAGTCCTATATAATGAAAGTTGAATGTAATTACAGTAGAATCTTACCAAATAGTTGGTTAGTTAATTTAAAGGAAGAGTACATTGGAAAATTGAATTACAGTAGAATCTTAGACAAATAGTTAATTCAAAGGAAGATTACATTGTAAATTAGGGATTTAAGAAAAAGTACATTCCTTATATATTTTAGTTTCACTTAATATTCACCAATTTTTTATACAGTGCCAATTCCTTTTCCTTGAAAATGTGTTCAGAGAAACATCGAACAGACAGTCAAACCTCATAGGGAAGGCAGGGGAGGGGAAGAGGAGGTAGAGATCAACCAAAAGACTTGTATGCATGCATATAAGCATAACCAATGGACACAGACACACGAGGAGTGAGGGCATGTGCGGGGGAGGAGGGAGGGGAGACATATGTAATACCTTAATAAAGAATTGGAAAACATATTAAAAGTGGAGAGGAAAATCAATTTTAATATACAGAAGGAACCTATATTTGCCATTATAATTAATGAAAAACATAAGAATCATGATTTTTTTTCTTTATGAGCGATATATTTGTAATAGCCTCATTTAATAAATTTTTCTCTTAGTTTAACAAAAACAAATTATTGGCCAAGAAGAAATGTTGAAGCAAAAATAAAAGCATTAGATAACACGTTAAAAATGAAAATTACAGAGATACACTAGCCAACTTCTATAATAATTGTCATTATTAGGGTTTTATATATGAATTAGTGGCTATGAAAATAGTATACTGGTGATGTGTAGTATAAAAAAATATTTGAAGCCCTGACAGGTTTGGCTCAATGGATAGAGCATTGACCTGCAGACTCAAGGGTCCCAGGTTCG